ATATCTAACAAGAAAATATTTTAGGCATTAATCTCAAAAAATTGGAGGAGAGGTCTTACTTAACATTTATCTAACTTCCTTCCAAGGACATGACACAGATTAGTGTCATTCAGTCAGTAGGCATAAAAAGAAAGAAAAAAAAGTTATGCTGAAAAATAGAAAATAAAATAATAATGCAGGTCTGTAATTGTCTCGGCAATTTATTCTACCATTTAGTAAACATGTGAGAAATGGCCAGAGAAAGCAAAATTTAGGCTCTGTCTGCTTACCTAGGAGAAGATTAAGAGGCTAGGTGAATTTAGGTATTTCTAAATGACTTTATACATCTCTAGAGGTCAAAGATATCCATTTGCTAGGATCCTACTTGAGAAAATTATCTTTACGGAGGTGACATTTACTTTGAAAAGCTTCAATTTGCTATTGGTTTCACCCAAATGAAACAAAAATGTAAATAAAAGCTTTTGTGAAAAGTCTCTTAAAATAACTGCTACATGATTAGGAATTAATCTCCTAAATAAATTCCAATTAACTAGATAATAGATCTAGTTTTAACCTAGTCTGAGTTCCACACTCTGATAATTACCTATATGTAAAATAATATCACTGAATTGCAGGGATAATTTACTGTTAAAAATAATTACCTTGTGACCCAAGATCATCAAATACTTTTGTGTATCTTAGTGCAAGGAGGACAATTTATGCAGCAAATATGACAAACGCAGAAACCGTATAATTATTATGGAATCAACTAAATGCACCTTAGATAATTAAGAAACTATAGTGTGGCACAAAGCTGAATTTTAAATCCCTTAATAGTTTTGCGTAAATAATGATATCCTAATGGGAAAAATTTAAATTATTAAAGATTAGAATGTTCATTTATTTATTATTAAGAACAATTCCATGAAGAGCAAGGTACAATTCTTAAATGCTATCAGAATATAAAATTTTAGTTATCATAATTAGTTGAACTTTCAACAAATATTTATTGGTCATTTATTGTATGCATGGCACTATATATATATGGAATCTAAATAAAATATAAAGAAATATAATAACAGGATTCCTTTGTTGTGATTGGTGATAAGACAAGTGTATGTGGGCGGCATTAAAGCATATAGCAAAAAGGATGTATGCAATGGAATTTACTGGCTGAAGTGGACAGATTTGGGGGAAGTTAGACTCAAAATTCGTGTAAGAATACTACAGAATACCATAAGAAGGGGTTTGTGTTTTACTTGGGGGACAACTGGAGTTATGAGGATCTCAAGTTGGGAGGGTCAGCATAAAAGCAACATTTTAGATGTATTAATTTGAGGTAGATTAACCAGGAAGAGGTGTTAAGTCTCAGCACAGTGAGGTATATTGCTTAGGGGACGGAGCCGGCAGTCAGAATGCCTGGGAAATGACTAAAATGATGTCACCTGCCCAATAAGGTAAGGTAATTAATAAGAAGAAATAAGGACCAAGGTCAGACAGAGAGATTGACAGAAATGGAGACATCCCATGATGTTTTGAAGAGGAAGATGAGAAGGTCATTTTTTTTGTTCTAGTCATTATCTTTGAGATGGTGTTCATTGCGGGATTTTTTTTTCATCAATAGTACATGACCATGACCTTCACCCCTGCCACCACTGCCACTTTAAGCACTACCACCAGTTCTGCCACCACTGCCCCCAAGACCATCGGTGCCCTCTCTACCATCGCCATGACCTCCACAACCTCAAGGATTCCCAACATCACGTCTATCTGTCCCTACCTCGCCCACCATAAGCCAACAAGAGTAACAGTTACCGCATTTGTTGAATTCTTACTACCTCACAGGCACTGTATTACACGCTTCTTACTCACCCCCTACAGGTAGTATTTTATAAAGTGAGGATTGTGAATCTGAGGCACAGATATTTGGCAATTTGCCTGGGATCATAAGTTAGTAATTAAAACAGGCAGACTTCAAACCTGAGTAATTTTGATTTCAAAGGCCATACTTTTCCCAATATCCGCTACTCCTTTGGACACAAGGGCGATGAATTATAAGTAACATATGTGTGCAATGGATGAGTCACTAGGTATGAATAATTAGAGGCAACAAACATTTGCATTTGCTACAGATAAAATGGAACCACTGGCTGGATGTATAAGCAGAAGTACCCAGATCGTGGCTTTCAAGATAGAGAAGTGAAATTTGAAATTTGAGGGAGAGAGTCAGCCATGGACTCATTCACTTAGATCCATACTTGGATCCATGAGAGGAGACAACTCAGATAAAGTTCAGAAGAGCGAAAAGAAGAATTTATGAGACACCGCCACAGGAATTAGGCAAAAGGAGAAAAACAAGTCAGGTAAAGGGTGGTAGGGGCAGAACCAGCAGTGTGTCAGAGAAGCTGAAAAGGAGGTCATTTTGAAAAGATCAGCATGATAGTTAAATGCTAGCGGTTCTCACGTGGGATGAGAGAGGGACGTTAACCACCATGAAGCTGGTGGTCATGTTTCCATGATGCCTCTGGAACCATTACAATATTTTAACCAGATTCCAACCTGCCGACAATTACCACTTACTGAATTTAATCGCTCTGAAAGGTCTGCTCCTTTGCACTCTTTGAAAGCTGGTGCTATTTAAAATTATGCTGGGACAAAAGGTATAATTGGGGTGGACTCAGGCAGACCAAGACATAAGATCACCTTAGTTATATATCTATTGAAGAAATACCTTACTACACGGTGTGCATCCTGCAGTCAGGCCATCTCAGGGGAAATCCTGGCTCAGGCACGTTGTACTATAGCTGTGTGTAATAGCAATAATAGCCATACCTATTTTGTAGGGTTACTGGGAAGAATAATGAGCTATGCAGATAAAGCATTTAATATAGTGCTGAGCACATAATAAAACCCTCACTAAGTGTTAGCTCTTATTTAAGAAATATATTCTTTATGTTCCCAATTGGACATCTCATTCCAGGCACTTAAAAAAAAAACCGCTTTCCTGAAAACAAAAAGTAATCAGAAAATATTTTTCCTAACCAACTACATTCTCCTAGCAGGAGCCAAGAATAAGCTTGTGAAGACAGAGACTGACATGAATCAACTTGCTCTGTTAATTTCTGTATTAGGAGAGTCTTGAACACATTAGGAGGGGGAGGCAATTAGGTTTCCATATTGCTCTGCTTGGAAAATTGTTGGAGCGCTGTTGGGTTGTTGCAAAGGAACCATAAATCCATGTGCCCACTAAGCATTGTCTGTAGACACATATTTCACTGACATTACATTAATGTCCATGCTACTAGGATTCATAAAAAGTAAACTTATTAAGAGCTTTACTGACTTACTTTTGTCATGGTTTTTCTCCATTGATGAATGTTAAAAATCTCAACTACTATCACCAGTAGAGTCCTTGGAAGTCATTGCCCTAAAAAGATAGCTAATATTCAAAGATTTTGAGAGCCATTTGACTAGAACAAGGGTCAGCAAGCTTTTTCGATGAGGGGCCAGATAGTAAATATTTTAGGCTTTGTGGGCCATACAGTCTCTGCGACAACGAACCAACACTGCCTTTGTAATACAAAAGAACCACAGACGATACACAAAGGAATGAGTGTGGCTATGTCTTTTTTTTTTTTTAATTATTGGGGAACAGCGTATTCTTCCAGGACCCATAGCTCCAAGTCAAGTAGTTGTTTCAATCTAGCTGTGGAGGGCGCAGCTCAGTGGCCCATGTGAGGATCGAACTGGCAGCCTTGGTGTTATGAGCACTGCGCTCTAACCAACTGAGCTAACTGGCCACCCCAAGTGTGGCTATGTTTTGATAAAACCTTTTGAACACTGACATTTGAATTTCACAAAATTTTCACATGTCATGAAGTAGTATTCTTCTTTTGATTATTTCCAATTATTTAAAAGTGTAAAAAAAATATTCTGAGTGCCTGAGCCATACAAAAACCGGCAGCATGCTGGATTTAGCCAGCAAAATTAGACCCCTGGATGAGAGGATTCCCTCAGCCACGCAGATATAACAAGGGAGAAAAGCCCAGTGGTTTACTGTGGAATTACGAAAGTCAGCTACAAGTCACGGATTAATAGAGAAGTACTGAAGGTCCCAAATAAAGTACATGAGTCACTTCTCTAGGTGTTTTTTTCCTTTGCCTAGAACATCTGATACACTATTTTTAGGTATGTGTTCTTCTCATACTTCTATTCCCCTGTATACACAAATTATAATGTCAAGTGTTCCATGCGTTCCTCAACATATGCTGCTTAGAAACACAAGACAGATTTTAGTGTTCTTTCTCAATCTTAGAATTATAATAACTGGAATGAAAAGCGAACTGCACCATTTTTATGATTTTCATGCTGTCTTTGCATTTATGAAATGTTATTCCCGTCATATTAATATGTCCACTGATTTACATAATACCTAACTCATCTACAATGTCTAGTCGAGCATATCCACAAAAAGATCAGTTAAAAATTCTAATGCATTCATGATAAGACTTTATAAATATCAAAGAACAGGAAATCTGTTCTGTAATTAATGACTCCTGATTTAGGATGTGCAGATTGAGACATTATGTTCTCGTAAATGAGCAGAATGGACCTTGTCTATTATAGGTGTTCTTCTTCTTCATGAAAATGTACTTTCCATTATTGAGGGAAAAAAAGTCATTTAATGCAAAAGGAGGCATGGAACCAGCAGGCTCTTTAAAAGAAAAAACAGAAACTTTCAGGATTAAAATGCGTCCATGGCAGTGCATCACCCATGGTTTCTTCTTACAATCCAGAAAAACAGTACTTCCATTAAGCATTAAGTCTTTGTTGGGATAGTGATTCCTTGGGTAAATTTAAAAACTTACTTAATAATTCTTCTCACTAACTTAACTGACATTACAGGGCCTCAGGAAATATTGTCTAAGTAAAAACACTGCTATCAAAACAGCTGAAAATGAGTTTTCCTGCTAAACAATTACTCTTCGCTTGAGGACAAAGCCAAGCATAAGCTCTCTCACCTTTTCCTAATTTCGGAATCCACAATAATCTGCCTCTTCTTCTGGGGTGGCGGTGGTGGAAGCTCCTCGTGGCCATGCTTTACCAGGATTTGTTCCCTTGTCGTCACCATAGTTACCGTTTCCATTACAGTTGTCTGTGTTAGTGATGGCTGAGTGGTGGTGACAGCCTGTGAAATCTGCGAGAAGTATTAAAATAGAGGTCACACATTGCTTGAAAGACTTCAGTAAAGACTGCTTAGAGGGGCAAAGGAAAATAACGAGAAACTTCCTGCTTGTTGGTAAACTGACCTTCAGATCAAAACAGCACCATACTGAACCCAAGTGAAATTGTTTTACCTAACTTAAGTTATGTTGACTGAAATCACAAAGGGAGGTAAGCTCAAAGCCAGAAGTCAACTTACCGCCTCCTCAATTTATTAGTCAAGCTATTGGAAATAAAGGGGCAAAGGAGGGAAACAGTGTCATTCTGACATTTCATTAGGCACACTATTTAAAATGTTTACAGCATTCAGGTAAATTTTACTAAGGTGTCCCAGTATCAATTCCATTGCCTGGCACATGGTAGATGTTTATTAAATAGTTTGTGGAATGCCTCTTGGTGACTTTTGATGGTCTAGACATTTTTAAACAAAATTATTTCAACTTTATAGTAAATTATTTTTTATTCAAATAAGTGAAATGTCCTTTAAAATTATAACAAAAGGTTAATATAAAGTGCCTGTGTCCAGAGATACAATAAGCTGAATGCTATGCAAATGCTAAAAAGCACACTACTCTTGTTTGATTTAAATTAGTGAATACGTTAAAATATTTGAGATTCCAAAGTTAGCATTAAAGAGTCTTGTTGGTTTAAAAACACACTGACTTTCTGTTCAGACTTGTTACAAATAATTTTTTTAGGCACAGGTCATCACTTTGTGGAATAATATGGTTGTGATCCAGGTCATGACAGGTCATGACCTCAGGTCATGGGCACTGCTCGACAGACTCATCATATAATGGTGAAATACCTTCCTTCTTTAACCACCAATTCTCTGTCTCACAGTCCTCCTGTTATCATGGCTGAAAAGTTACCTCCTGGGATGTTAATCATTACCCTTCTAGTAATCCCAATTATTTGCAAGATCTATTTTCAGGGAGATCAAAACAGACTTGCATTGGATCCACTTATAGGTACTTGATATGCACAGAGCCAGGGATCTGGCTGGGGCCAAGATCAGTTTTATTGATTCCCCTGAACTTGACACGAGATACGGAAAGAGTTTGGGGTAACCTCTCTGCCTCACAGCTGATGACTGATTTCTTCAATGGGAGAAAATCAGGGAAGCCTTATGATCTTCCTATTTCAGCTTCCAAATAGGCAATTGACAGTAATGAAATCCTTTGTCATGATGTCCTCTGTAAAAATTGCTTTTGACAAATACATTTTAAAAGTGCTACCCTTACGGAAGTCAAGGCCTTAGCAACTTCCATTTTGGTAGCCTAGTTTTTTGGGTTTTTTTAAAGGATATTACGAGATACAGAGTTTCTACATGTGCCAAGCATAGATTTTATCTTTTCTAAAATATCCATAAATTCATTATTCAGAATCAATTGCTGCACTTCAAATAATACTTTTATACAGTCCACCGACTAGTTATGCCAAATGAGAGCAGAAAGTAACATTTTTAAATGCTTAAAATATAACCCCAAATTTAACTGCACACAACACAAAAGGACCATTACATGATCAAACTAAGTTTACCTTTAATCAAAAAGAAAATGTAGTTTTTAAGTAGGATTCCAAGAGCACTTCATTTTTTCAGAGTTATGTTTTTTAACCATGGGCAAACATTTTGTCATACAATGATGCACTGAAGAGAGAATACTGTTCAGATAGAAAATTCATAATTTTATATGTGCTATGTGCAGGCACCAGAATGCAGAGATTCTGAAAATACAAAGCTATTTTTTGCTATTATAGCTAATGTTATGGAACATTTGTGCTACTCAATATTTGGCTGTGAACTGAATTTCTGTAATTTTATATTTTCTCATTGATACCTATTATGCAATTGGGTAGATGTGCCCATGGAGGGTAAAGAGAAATGGCAACATGATATACTATGAAATTGCATTTAAGAATATAGTAAACCTTATTTTTAAAAAAAGAAAAAATAATCCTTTTAATAGAATACTAAGACATGCATCTGTAATTTTTCTATACTATATTCATTACTGTACTGTTATTGAAAATACTACATACTTCATTTCCCTTGGGATGAAGAAATAAGAAAACAACTATGCCTTGATCCTATAAAAATAGGGTATAATTCATTATATATAATAAATTAATAATTAATTTCAATATCTATTCCATATAATAAGAATAAAAAATAACCGGTCAGGTACTGAATTCCTCCATGGATTTTATTGACCATAAACAATTACTATATGTGAGAATCCTTAAAAACACAGACAGGAAGGGTTTTAGAGACCAGTTAGTATAACCTCCTACTTACTATAGAATTCACTACTCCCCGTAGCAGACTTCCTGATGATGGCACCAAATTTTCCCACTGGCAAAGATCTTTACACCTAGTGGAAGCCTGCCTTATTATAACTTCATTCATTCACAATTTGTTTTGAATGCTGGGCCACTACAGAAAAAGTTGAGTATTGTTTCTGCCTAACAGTCTTAAAGATCTGAAACTTGACTATCATGATTCTGACAAGTCCTTATTTCCAAGCTCTAGAATATCAGGTATTTGCTAGAATCAGATATAACCTGATTGGTGTTGCAAAACCTAGGTTTTCTGTTTTGGATGCCACATTCAATTAATCTAAAATGTTCTAACCTCCTCAGCAGCTGAATGGCAATGTTTCAATTAAATTCCAACATGTATTGAATATGTATCACTACAGGACATTTGGAAATGAATAAATGGAACCTTCATTTTGAGGGATCTTACAGTATAGTAGTAAAGGTGAAAACCACACAAATAATTATGAGATAAGGTGAAGGGCCACATGAAAATACATAAGTATGCAAAATAATTACATGCACACTATAGTAATAAAGGAAGTTTCTTTTTAAATGTTACAAAAAACAAATTTCCCTAAGTCCATACCTTAACATTTAAATTTATTTTGATGCTAAAGGCTGCATATAACATTTACCCCAGTTCATAGGATCATTTATAACAGTAAAATACTGAAAACAGCCTAATGTCAGCAGGTGATGGTTTAAACAAATTATAGTACATGCATGAGATAAAGTATTGTACATGTTTCAAATATTTTTAAATGTCACTGGAAATTGTTTACATTATAGGACTGAATAAACAATGCAAGATATAAACATTGGTGGTTATATTTTGGCAGAGAAAGCACAGATAACGTCTATTGTGTACTGTATATTTCTGTATTCTTTGTATTTTCCAACCTTCTACAATAAAGCATTTCCTGCAAAATGTTGCTTTCATAAGCAGAGAAAAATTTTCAAAAATCTTTTTCCGAAATTGTTTTAAGTCGATCACTCCTATGTATCTTTGGAATTATGGAATTATAAGCCTATCATCCAAATACATTAAAATTAGGACAACTAAATATCTGATAAGAATGACTTACTGCCTTCACCAAAAGACTGAATAGGGCAAGGTCAACATTAGAATATAATGTAGTTTGAGCTATATTCAACAAACTTTGAGTCTACCTAACTAAATTCTTACCCAGTCAGTCACCTTTCTCCATTTTGATTCTGAGTATATTGGAAATTACTTTTACATGTGCTCATGAAAATAAAATATATTTGTTTTTAAATATGATTCCCTTGATCTGTCAGTTAATCAGCCCAGTAAAAACAGAAGAGTTAGTTTAGGATTACCTGACTTTAGGTTAAAAAGCTCGTAGCTCTTACAGTGATTAAAAGTAGAAGCCTGTGAGCCAGGCTCCATAATTCTAAAACACTAGGTCCATAGTTCATACTATAATATTTGGGGGCAGGGTCATCACTATCTCAGAGCTTTGACTGACTTTCTTTCTTTCTTTCTTTCTTTCTTTCTTTCTTTCTTTCTTTTTTTTAAGATTTTATTGGGGAATTGGGGAAGGGGAACAGCCACGTTGTCCTTCAATCTTAGTTGTGGAGGGCGCAGCTAGCTCAGCTCCAAGTCCAGTCACCATCCTGCTGCCCGTCAGCAGCTCAGGCCACTCAGCTCAAGGTGCCGTGTTCAATCTTAGTTGCAGGTGGGCATAGCCACCATCCTATGTGGGAGTCGAACTGGAAACTTTGTTAGGAGCACGTGCTCTCACCAGCTGAGCCATCCTGCCACCTGTTTGCAGCTCAGGGGCAGCTTAGCTCGGGCGCACCTCACTGGCCCATGTGGGAATCGAACCGGAGACCCTGTGGCTCAGAACTCGTGTTCTTAACCAAGTGAGACTCAGGCAGCCCTGACTTATTTTCTTTATATAAAATAGGAATGATAACACACCCTCACGAGGGTGTTGCAAACAGGGCCGGCTCATGGGTGTGCAACTCATGCAAGCACCCAGGTCTCTTCACTCGGAAGGACTCCACGTTTGGTTTCATACTCTGCTGTCACCCTCTTCAATGTCTTCATAATTTTTTAATGAGAAGCCCTGCATTTTAATTTTGCATTGGGCCCCCTAAATTATGTAACCAGTCCTGGTAGCACGAATTAAATTATGTAATATATGAACACACTAAGTGTTCTCTTGATACATATTGGCGATAACCACGATATTTAATAAACGTTCAGAGAAAATTCAGGAACGTTTTTCTATTTTCTGTACTCAACTTTCTAACTCATAAGGTTATGTATGTTTATTTTCCAAATGTTACCTTTCCCATTGTAGGAAAACTGGAAAAGCATTTGCAAAGCCTCTTGATAGTTCTAAGGTACACACCTTCTTGAAGAGCATATAATTTCTGTAGGTCTGGAAAAACCAAACTACTCTCAAATAATAAAATTCTTTCTTCACGTCTCCTCTTCCATTTGTTTAAAAATGCACATTTTTGAAGAGGAACTATATTTACATTTAAGCATATTTAAAGAATATAAAAGGGAATACAGTGAAAGGAAAATTTCTTTTAGACCACTCTCCAGTTTCTCAGGGGCAAATAGTTGTGTTTACCACCTGTTCTTATACTTTCATTTTCCTGATGCTGTTATTTTTC